CAATTACAGCCAAAGTATAATGAATTGTGTTAAAAAAAGTTGTATTGAAGTCGTTCATTGGGCTCGGTTATCTGCGGTAGACGACAGACGAGTGAATCTGCGTAAAATTTGTTTTTCCCAAGATTCGTTACAAGTTCCAAGATAAGGATGGGGGTACCACGCGGATTGGAATGTTTACAAATTCATTGGATGAGAAAGAATTGATGGAAGGAGAAGGTAAACGCTCACGCCTATTGGATATTCCATGATAGCAATAGACCAATTCAATTAGCCCTCAAAGCACGTAAAGTCGGGAAAAATTGCAGGTGGCAATATTTTTACACAGAAAGTCGCTATTTCATATTAAGAAATTTTTTTAATTCCATGCTTTTGAAATCTTATTAATAAAATGTGTTTTAGAATATTGTCTGCTAGAAGACAGACGTTACCCCACCATCGTATATCATTCTCATGGTACAGAAATGCTGCTGATTGAGAGATTATAATCAATCCACTCTGATTGTCAATTCCTCTCTAAATTATGTTCTCATTTGTCTCTTGCTTTTCTTCGACAACGAACGAACATGCCGTTCACAGAGCCGTTTAAGAATCGTTTTCGTTCATCTTCGCTAGTAAAAAGCACACACACAGTTATTAAATATGTTATATTTACTAGATGATGTGTTTAATCAAGTTCGGAAAGGAGAAGGTTACCAATTCATTATTTATTCTCCTCGTATAAATCCATCGATTATTCTGCCAAGGATAGTTTAATCAAAATGAAATGGTTTGCATTTTGTAAAGAACTGGAGGTTGTAAAGATTTTTGTATTTTGTATATATTATTGTATTCTAAATATCGTTCTACGACGTATGAATCTTTTACATCGAACATCGATACATGAATCAATCAGAATGAAACTTTTTGCATTTTCTTAATATGATTCCTCGATGCCGTTTGATTTCTTCACGGGAATAAATTACTCAGTAAACGATGAATCTTTCACAAGACGGATGATTATTTGGAATTAGCATACTTTTTCCTTTTCTTAAACTTTGCGTACTTTCTTATTTTGTTGCCTGTGAATGGTTAATTGGAAACTCGAACATCAGCGTCACCTCAGGGCCTGTCCCTACCTGATGTGAACGGAACGTAGGAGTTGGACTTTCACCTTCTTAGAGACATACATTCACCGATTCGCTCAAATGTACTTTTCAACATATTGAATCAAGAATGCAAGTGGAAAATTAACAAAGTCGAGGTACATCAGCGAGGTATCCTATCACGTAATAGGAAACGCAAGAACTCACGAAGTCGATGGGAAGAGGGGAGTGAATTGGACCCACGCATTCCAAGTAGATCGACATTCATTGTATCAGCAACTAATGGTCAAAATGAGACAAGTTTTTAAAATTTGGAATAGCTCATTGAGACATTTATAAATTCACAAGCGTAATTTGAAAATAAACTGATTCCAGTTTAAATATTTTTATTTGTTTACACTTCATGTTTAACTGTCGTCAGTAATTAATTGTCAATCTTAGCATTGGCATTGCCTCTACATATTCTTATAACGAACAATGGAAAAGAAGAGAGTTATTGCGTTACTTTTAAATTAGTACGTGCTGTGAATAATTGGCATTATAAGTATGCATTCATTTTGGTTTCCACTATTGAATTTTAGCAATTTTTATATTTTTAATATCGCCGTAACTGTTACATTCTTTACAATAAAAACGTGTTCTTCTAAAAAGCTTAATGATCTCTCTTTCGTCTCTGGTATAATTTCGTAAATTGGTCGAGATTATCCTTATAGTAACTATTGCAATAGGAAACAACACTTTTTATTATTTAGATTGTTTAATTTTGAATCCTAGTCTAAACTTTATACAGAAGTAATTGTATGTTACATTATAATATCTGTAATTTAGTCAGTTAAGATTTATTATTGACTTTGGCTGTAAAGAAACACACAAATTGTTTATCTGATGTGTATACTGACTGGTTATATTAAAATTTATATTTGAACGTATGTGTTATTATATGTGTGTTTTAGTGATTGTAAGAATAAAAATAATTACTATTTACTTTAGTAGTAACTCAATTTCTCGCCCTAATCTGTCATATTTCTCTATTCTTTGTTTTATTTTATGCAAATTATTTTACGACGGAAATTGCAACATCATTGCAATATATATAACATTCTAGCTTAATGAAGGAATCTCTATTTACAATTATGAATTATTTTCTTTGTTTTTAATTTATGCTTCGAATTTAATGAATAGATTAGAACTTTTAGAACTCTGTCGTATCTATGTCGAAGGTGGCATGCAATTGGAGAATTCTTATTAGATGTTCGATAATAATACAATTACATAATATTAACAAGTGTATGACTGGTGTCATTCTCTCACTAGTCAATTTCAGAGGTCAATATTTCTAATCATATAACAATCACAACGTCGAGTCTTTACGCATGATCTGTCATCAGAAATAAGACGGCTGTATATGTGTATAACAAGGGTATATATACATACACGAACGCAAAATGCAAACGAGCGTGTTGATCGATGACATTTCTCCTGAGTTAAACAGCGAGATGACTTTGCACGTTCAATAAAAAACAGTATTTCGTTTCGGAATGATGTAAGCAAATCATTAAAAAAAGATAAGCTGATTTGTTATTCCTGAATTTGTCTCAACGTTATCCACAACAAGTGACGGAAATAATTATGCATATTTAAGAAAACATGTAAAAGTGACCTCGAGACTTTTTAATGAAAAATATTTGAGAGGTTTTGAAGTTGTTGCAGTCGAAAATAAGGGTCGGTTTTCAAGAAAATAACGCGTATAAAATTTTGGCCAATCTGGTCACGTGTCACGTACTCATAGATTTCAACGATATACCTTTTCTGAAAATTTGGTACTTTTAACTTACTGCATAGATTATCCTGTACGCATTTGAGCTTTTGGAACGTTGTCATTGGTTGTGTCATCATTTATTTTGCCTCTTTATGTAATCACGATCTTACGCGGATTTCTACAGTTAAGACCTTTGATCACCAAATATTAATAAGTTCGAATATTCCGAACTGTTCATTTTCGTGAAAAATGACCCTCAGTTTCGGCTTTAGCGATCTAAGGTACCTCCAAAACGGCACATTCAGGTAACAAATTTTGCAGTTTGGACACTACCCTTTATCCGAAACCTTTTTCATATCTTTTTGTAATGCAATTTATTTTAAATTCATCAATAATTAACTTTAGTTGAGAACATCTTTTTATCAGGTTGTCAGTAGTGTTTATTAGTTTGTAGCGGCCGTTGCGCTGGCCACCCTGTTTAAATAATTTGTACGGATTTAAATACCCAAATTGCGACAGTTTTGAACAGTACTGATTCATAAGTTTACAAAGGGTCGCTTTTAATCCTTTCAAAAAGATTTTGTATTGTTAGTAGATTTTTTATGCTTTCTTAATATGCTTTTAACAACTTCGCAACTACAAACGAGACATTTCACGATTGTGATAGAAATCGTTCATAGTCATAGACGAGATATCTTGTGCGCTTGCTTATTAAAACAAAAATTGCAATTACAGAAAAACAGAGTCACGGGACATCTCAACGTTATTGTAGTGCGAATATTGTATCGGGGGATAACATCGTCCGTAACAATACACAAACGATATTGTGTGGAGAATAAGCTGTTCGTGTCATCGCGCGAATGCTATCGTGCCGCTACATATGTCGTCCACGGTTACGAAAGGAGAGGAAACTGGAGTGCTCGCACTTATGGATCTGTTCCCGTACAAGTGCTGGACCATGCGGCCAAGTGCTAAGTTCAACTACAATTAACGTGCAAAAGAATCTATAACATTAAAGATCTGCCCTGTTTTGTCGTAACTCAGCATATACAAGAACCTATGTATTTAAGCTTAAAGTTAGGAATCTACCCTATTTGGTTGTACACTACATAAACAAGAACCTGTTGGGTTTCACACTATGGAAACCTACTTAATCGTTCGGGTTTACAGAAAAGTTCATATCTACTTTTCTATCCGAGATAGCCAAGTATGTGAATAACAAAATGGCACAAGAATGAAGCTAATTAATAAATTGTACGTTGCCTTAGAATGAGAAATTTATCATTTGCTATATTTTTGGACCACGATACATATAACGCAGAGTTAAAAATAGTACAAAATGCCAATATAATAATTTGGTAACAAAAATAAAAAAACAAATAATACATTTACAAATATTGGATATATCTAATATGTATGTATATTTCTATACCAATAGGGCTATAAAGGAAAAACATCCAAAATGGTTTAGTCAAAAACTTGTATTCTCTAAGTGTAGATTTCTGCCTTACAGGAAATCGCAATAGCTCTTCGCCTTTTCTCTTGACGTTTGAGACCTCTTTTTCTTGATGTCTTTCCGACCGCGGATCTTTCTGGGCTGTAACGAAGAGTTATTATATAAGAGTAACGAAGTAAAACGACTGTTTCGTGGGCTGACTTCATAGTGATTGTTTTGTCGCAATATATTTTTTAGTTTCTGTCTCTTAGCCCATCTTTTTACAACTTTATCTTCTCCGTAGTTGAGCATGCATTTTGACCTTACATAATTTTTCCTACCTCAAGATATCTAACCTCTTCAACTTTTTACGCAATTGATCTCTGGACTTGGGTTCTTCCGAGGTTTTATTTAACATATTTTATTTATGCCTGCAAATTTTCATTTTCTTTCAACAGCTGAGCGTGTCCATTTTGCAATTCTATTTGTCAGAATGTCTTCCCTAGGCTTTCCTTAATATGAACGTCACGGCTTGTCTGCGATTGAATTGCTAGTCGTTCAATCGAATCGTCATTTTCAGCGAATCTTAACGGTACTCTTGTATAGTCTAGCATTGGTGTATTACCAAATAATTCATTTTCTTCTTCTTTTTATTTTATCCCTCCTTCATCTGCCTCTTGCTATTGTTGGTAGCGCTAGTACTTGCATTGATGTCGTTCTTCTCGCTCTTGCCCTTCTTTTCTGATCACCTGTTTTTTGATAACGTGCTGTCTTCCTCGCACATCTTCCCTTTCTCTTTTATTTTGTAATAAATCTGTTGGTTGTTCGGATACAGTATGCATTTTTCTCTATTCGTATTTTTGTCTGATGATTTCGGGTAAATAACGATCGACACGGATCCATGTTTCTTAAAATGGCGCTGTCATAATATTTTAGGAAGAGATTACCTGTTAAAAGAATAATTCATATAAATAATAAGCGAAAGTAACATAGATAAAATGTGTAAAACACATTGATGTCAAGAGACAAGGTATCTCGTTTCATATTAAAATTGCCTAACTGAGAGGAAACCAGATACAGATCTCGTAGAGTACTTTATTTGGCATTTACTACCATCTGAGATAAAAAAATTACAATGTATATACATCTTGGGTGAAAACTTGCGAGACTCGTTTTTTCAGCGATCGTCCCCTCATTGTGTCGCCTTTCGTTTACGAAGGAACCTACGATACTAAGCCGATTTTAACAAATTATATCGTGTTTCGTGTCATTCTGATTTCACAAATATGACGGACATGTTGAAAGCTTCATAAATATTGGTAGTAATATAAAAGTTTTTATTGTTATATTGTCGTCGATATTCGGTCTCGGATCGAGTAATACTATCTGCCATTATTTCTGTAGTCAGTAGTAGATGTTTAATAGAGAAAAGGCACATAGTTATTTTATTGTAAATCCTAGGATATCATTAAAATGCGAAAATGTTCCTACTGTGGCTAGCTAAACTTCGTCTGCAGACACAACTCTTTCTCAACTGTTATTGCGTTTTTTGATGACACAGGAAACATTTCGCAACTGTACGAAAATCGGCATCCAAGTGTTGCGATAATGGAGATACATAAACAATTCCATATGTCGAAACTGAGGTCCTAGACGTGTCGAACGTAGAAAGGGACAATGCGAGTGAAGACAAGGAGGGACTGAGAATCAACAAATATGAACAACCTGTAATAAACTGAGTAGTCCAATTCAAAATTTAAATTTTCTTATTCTTAATTTATGATGAAGCTTTTACCAACACGTTACTTACATTTTTATAATAAAAGTATCATCAGATACTACATTGTTCGAAGCATATTTGCTAACTCATTTTAATCGGAAAGATCTCAGAATATTGATCGTAAAGCGATATTCCGTCATTCTGAACACATTATGCGTTTAAATAAATAATAAAATTTACCGTTTAAATGGTTATCACGTAAAAGTAAGCTATGCAGTAGGCTAAAATTTCTAAGCTTTATAAACGCAAGAGTTTTGAACCATTGGATACTGATATTAGAAACATTCTTATGTCGGCTCTGTTCTCTGTTCATATGAGTACTATCAGAAAGTGTCGAAAATGTTTTAATATAAAACATTAACCGATACAACACACACGTGTGCACAGTGCGAATATTTTGTACTTACCAACTTTTCAAATTCATTCCTTATGAAGGGGATTGTCTTCTTTCGGAAGGTGATACAGGTGATATTCTCAATGTCGACTACTGTTACATGCGATGTAGACTTAAATATTTTCTCACTGAACCATTCTCCGCAAGTTAATGACGTAAAAACTTGAGGCAATCTCCCGAAAATTACGCAGGATTCGGGGAATATGACGTCGAAGATAGAAAAAAAGGTAAAAAAGGAAATACAAAAAGAAAAAATTAAATAAGACATAAATAGCTCTATATACGTTATTAGTTTTGGTTTTATATTGGACAAACATTAGATTCGGTTATGTACGGTACTCGACAGAACAGTAAATGTGAGTAAAATTTGATTTTCCCAAGACTCGTTAGAAGTTCCGAGATAAGGATGGCAAAATTTAAATTTTCTTATTCTTGATTTGTGATGATACTTTTACCAACACGTTACTTACATTTTTATAATAAAAGTATCATCAGATACTACATTGTTCGAAGCATATTTGCTAACTCATTTTAATCGGAAAGATCTCAGAATATTGATCGTAAAGCGATATTCCGTCATTCTGAACACATTATGCGTTTAAATAAATAATAAAATTTACCGTTTAAATGGTTATCACGTAAAAGTAAGCTATGCAGTAGGCTAAAATTTCTAAGCTTTATAAACGCAAGAGTTTTGAACCATTGGATACTGATATTAGAAACATTCTTATGTCGGCTCTGTTCTCTGTTCATATGAGTACTATCAGAAAGTGTCGAAAATGTTTTAATATAAAACATTAACCGATACAACACACACGTGTGCACAGTGCGAATATTTTGTACTTACCAACTTTTCAAATTCATTCCTTATGAAGGGGATTGTCTTCTTTCGGAAGGTGATACAGGTGATATTCTCAATGTCGACTACTGTTACATGCGATGTAGACTTAAATATTTTCTCACTGAACCATTCTCCGCAAGTTAATGACGTAAAAACTTGAGGCAATCTCCCGAAAATTACGCAGGATTCGGGGAATATGACGTCGAAGATAGAAAAAAAGGTAAAAAAGGAAATACAAAAAGAAAAAATTAAATAAGACATAAATAGCTCTATATACGTTATTAGTTTTGGTTTTATATTGGACAAACATTAGATTCGGTTATGTACGGTACTCGACAGAACAGTAAATGTGAGTAAAATTTGATTTTCCCAAGACTCGTTAGAAGTTCCGAGATAAGGATGGGGATACCACGCGGATTGGAATGTTTGCAAATTCATTGGATGAGAAAGGATTGATGGAAGAAGAAGGTAAACGCTCACGTCTATTGGTTACCCTAAGATAGCAATCGGCCAATTTAATTAGCCTACAAAACACGTAAAGTCGGGAAAAATTGCAGGTGGCAATATTTTTATACAGAAAGTCGCTATTTCATATTAAGAAATTTTTTTAATTCCATGCTTTTGAAATCTTATTAATAAAATGTGTTTTAGAATATTGTCTGCTAGAAGACAGACGCTACCCCACCATCGTATATCATTCTCATGGTACAGAAATGCTGCTGATTGAGAGATTATAATCAATCCACTCTGATTGTCAATTCCTCTCTAAATTATGTTCTCATTTGTCTCTTGCTTTTCTTCGACAACGAACGAACATGCCGTTCACAGAGCCGTTTAAGAACCGTTTTCGTTCATCATCGCTAGTAAACAGCTCACAAACAGTTAGTAAATATGTTATATTTTGCTAGATGATGTCTTTAATCAAGTTCGGAAAGGATAATGTTACCAATTTAATATTTATTTTTTTTACATAAAACCATCGATTATTCTGCCAAGTATAGTTGAATCAAATTGAAATCTTTGCATTTTATAAAGAACTGGAGGTTGTAAAGATTTTTGTATTTTATATATATATTATTGTATTCTATATATCATTCTACGTCGGATGAATGTTCCACATCGAACATCGATCTAAAGTTTTGCATTCATTGTTATTTTTTTGCTCGTCTCACTTTATGTATATTCTTATATTATCTGATCAATTGACTTCTCAATTTGTGTTAATATAAGAATGTTTGCAAAAGTTAGATGAACGAAACAAATAACAATGAATGTACAATTTTAAATTAAATTTCGGAAACGGTCATTTGACCGGGCCTGGTAAGGTTAGTGATAATTTACTTTTAACTATGGACAATATATATTACGAAACGATATTGTTAATATGATAATACGGTTGAGTCATGGATGAGATGTCTGGTGCTTTGCTTATTATAAAAGAAGTTGTAATTATAAAGAAACAGACTCACGGGACATCACAACATCGTTGTAGTGAGAATATTGTGTCGAGGAATAACATCGTCAGTAACAATACACAAACGATATTGTGTAGAGAATAAGCTGTACGTGTCATCGCGCGAATGCTATCGTGCCGCTACACATGTCGTCCACGGTTACGAACAGAGAGGAAATTGGAGTGCTCGCGCTTTTGGATCTGCTTGTTCCCGAACTGGTGCCGCACCATGCGGCTAAGTGCTAAGTTCAATTCAAATTAACGTACGAAAGGATCTATAAAATTAAAGATCGGCCTTGCTTGGTGGTAATTTAGCATATACAAGAACCTATGTATTTAAGATGAATTTTAGGAATCTACCCTATTTGGTTGTGCACTAACATAAACAAGAATCTGTCGGGTTTCACACTTCGGAAACCTATTTCATCGTACGATTTTACAGAAAAGTTCATATCAACTTTTTTACCTGAGATAGACAAGTATGAGAATAACAAAATGGCGCAAAATGAAGCTAATTAATGAATTGTACGCTGCCTTAAAAAGAGAAATTACTATATTTTTAAACAATGATACATACAAAGTAGAGTTAAAAATAGTACAGTATACCGATATAATAATTTAATAACAAAAAGCAAAGAAAATAAATAATACATTCACAAATATTGGACATGTCTAATATGTACATATATCTCTATACCAATAGACTATTCTATAAAGGGAAACCATCCAAAATAATTCAATCAAAGACGTGTATTATACAGATGTAGATTTCTGTCTTAAAAGAAATCCCAACTGCTCTTCGCCTTTTCTTTTGACTTTTGAGACCTGCGTCTTTCTTTCTTGATGTCGTCCGGCCTCGGGCCTTCCACCGCTGTATCGAAAAGTTATTCTTTAGATTCTCCTGGAATCATTGAAAGAACCGATTCTTCAGGAACTATGGAATTCAAAAAACTATAGTTTCACAGGCTGGCGGCATAGCGATCGTTTTGCTTCATCTTACGAATAAAAGAGTTTCCGGGGTCAGCAGGAAACCGCATCTTCGCTCTCTACGACGAAGCGTCCTCTTTTTGGAGGAAGATGTCGTGATTCATCTACAAGGAATTGTTTAGTTGTACAATTATTACTGGCGCAGTAAATTTTTAAGTTTCTGTCTGTCATCGTTTTGCAACTTTTTCTTCACCGAACTTGAGCATGTGTTTTGACCTTACATAAATGTTTCCACCTCAAGACATCTAATCTCCTCAACTTTTCACGCAATTGATTTCTGGATATTTCGGTTCTTTAGAGGTTTTATTTGACATATTTTATTCGTGCTTTCAAATTTTTATTTTCTTTCAACAGCAGAGCATGTTTATTTTGCAATTCTATTTCTCGGAAAGACTTCCCTAGGCTTTCCGCAATTTCCAAGTCGCAGGTTGCCTGTGATTCAATTGCTGGCCGTTCAATTGAATCCTCGTTATCTTAACGGTACCCTTGTATAGTCTAGCATTAGTATATTAACAAATAATTCATTTTCTCCTCGTCTTATTTTATCCCCCCTTCATCCGCTCTTGCTATTGCTGGTAGTGATAGTAGTTGCTTGATCGCCTTTTCTTTTGACTTTTGAGACTTGCGTCTTTCTTTCTTGATGTCTTCCGGCCTCGGACATTCCTTCGCTGTATCGAAACTTTATTCTTTGAATGCTTCTATAATCATTGAAGGAATCGATTCTTCAGGAATTACGGAATTCAGAAAACGATGGTTTCACAGGCTGACTTTATAGCGATCGTTTTGCTTCATCTTACGAATAAAAGAGTTTCCGGGGTCAGCAGGAAACAACATCTTCGCTCTCTAGAATGAAGCGTCCTCTTTTTGGGGGAAGATGTCGTGATTTATCTTGAAGGAACTTTTTAGTTCTACAATTTTTACTGATGCAGTAAATTTTTTAGTTTCTGTCTCTCAGCCCACCGCTTTGCAACTTTTTCTTCACCGATCTTGAGCATGTATTTTGACCTTACATAAATGCTTCCACCTCGAGACATCTAACCTCTTCAACTTTTCACGCAATTGATTTATGGATATTTCGGTTCTTTAGAGGTTTTATTTGACATATTTTATTTGTGCTTTCAAATTTTTATTTTCTTTCAACAGCAGAGCGTGTTCATTTTGCAATTCTATTTCTTGGAATGTTTTCCCTAGGCTTTCCTTGATATGAACGTCGCAGCTTGTCTGGGATTGAATTGCTAGTCGTTCAATCGAATCGTCATTTTCAGCGAATCTTAACGGTACTCTTGTATAGTCTAATATTGGTGTATTTCCAAATAATTCATTTTCTTCTTATTATTATTTTATCCCTCCTTCATCTGCCTCTTGTTATTGTTGGTAGCGGTACTGGTTGCATAGATGTCGCTCTTCTTGCTTTTGCCCTTCTTTTCTGATCAGTTGTTTTTCGACAACATGCTGTCTTTCCTGTACATCTTCTCTTTCTCTTTTATTTTGTAATAAATTTATTGGTTGTTCGGATACAGTATGATTTCTCTTCTATTCGTATTATTTGTACGATTTTGTTTGATTATTTCGGCACGGACATCCATGCTTCTTAAAGAGTCGCAGGTAGAATATGTTGGGAAGAGATTGCCTGTTAAAAGAATAGTACATATTAATAATAAGCGAAAGTAACATGGATAAAACGAGGAAAGCATATTGCGGTCGGGAGACAAGGTATCTCGTTTTATATTAAAATTGCCTGACTGAGAGGAAACCAGATACAAATCTCGTATAGTACTTTATTATTATACATCGAAGATATCAGATATTGAAGAAAAAATTGAGCTGTTTGTGGAACAGAAACGGATTCGCCTGCTTGCTCCGAAGTTTCGGGCGCGCAGGGACGTACAATCATTGGGTGATAACT